TTGAAAAAATGTCTTCTATTTAACTGTGTAAAATAAATATTTATACTCATATATACGCCAATGTATGAGTGAATAAAATTTTAACAAAAATATAGAAAATAAAAATTATTAAACTAATGATAATTAGAAAAATTGCAAATTAAAAAGATAAGCCTAGATTTACACTCTTCCAACTGGACGGAACCCCAAGCATGTGATTTCCACGCAGAATCGATCACCTTCCAATGTTGTCAGATTAATATAGGCTAGCTTTGGACTAAAAGGAAGAGCATCAGCTATGCGTATATCTTCAACACCAAAAGATGTCTCCAAAACAGCTGCTTCGGCCTCAGATGTGCAAAACTTCAATTCACAGCATACGGAAAATTCCTTTTCACCAAAGTTGGACATTTCAGATTCCCATTTAGAGTTATGGGTCATTTTTAGTCAAAAATAAAATCTAAGGTGGCTATGTAATAATTTTGGAGGAAATTCAATACCCTGAAGTTTTTGTTTAGAGGGATAAACCCAACATCAGCATAAGACCTAAAAAGAATGCATTAATCAGCGCGCCTATTTTTCTAACGTACTATAATTGTTTACAGAATTTTATATATGATTCATATATAGCTTTCTTTATTATTTTATTATTTTTGAAATTAAATTAAATTTTAAAGTGCGTTAATTATAACATGGGATTTGCTCCTGATGAAGATACTAAATGAGAAAACGGTTTTGTATTATTTTAAACATGAGCGCCACGATAAGGAAGGAACTCTTTTTAAAACTAGATTGCAAAAAAAGAATCACTTTAAAAAGAGATATTTTGTCTTATGTGGAAATATCCTTGCCTATTACGAGCGAAGGTCTGACGTTGAACCTTTAGGCGTCATCTTTCTTGAGGGGCACTCTATTGAAATGGTGGACGATCTTACTTTTGCTCTTAAGTTTCCTTTCATTAAGGAAAAGGGAAGAGATTATTACCTTCGAGCGGAATCACCAGAACTCCTTATGGTATGGCAATGATTAATTTTTGTTCATAACCAGATAGTACTGGAATTAATTGATAACTGTAATTAGTACGCTAGAACCATACCCTGATTAGGCATCTCTAGTAGCGTAGCATAGTATATCTCGATTCGGTGCATTCAGTTTGTTGACGCAAGCTAGATACATATGCTCAATCCGGCATCATTTTACTCTAAAACCTGCCAGGACTTTACGTGATCAACGATAGCAAAACTTTTACCCTATTTTACCTATTATTTAAGTCTATATAGCACCTGCTTGAGCCCATATTACATGGTCCATCCTGGGAAACAATGTTTTTTAATTTTTATCCAAACCTAAAAGTATTTTCAAATCACAGCTATTTTGCCTTAGAATCGAGTATCTAACATAATGGTGAAGATACGGGCTTCTCAGAAATAGGGGATAAAGTACTATCAGCGAAAAAAGTAATCTGCATTAGTCATATCGATAAAGAGAGTAAATGTTCGTCACCAAGTGCATTACTGATCGATAATGGCTAAGGAAACTTTTGTCACTTTTGCAGCATTGCATTTATGATCACTTAATGAGGCCTTGACCCAACATCAAATCTGGTGTGGGCTAAGCCAATGGGAAAATATGTTGTGAACTCATAAATGTCCAATAGTCTACATTTGGGTGTGGCACCTTAACTATCTAAAGGATAGGATCACCTGCCCTCAAATCCCATATTTTTCATTATATGCAGGATTGGATGCGTGCTCTCTCGCATTGTGGTACAGACTACCTAATCGTATCGGCCGAAGAGCTGGAAAATCAGTTGCATGCCCTTCACTCCATCAAGTCTGCCGTGTCTATCTTCGATAAAGCCGAGGCGATCGGAATCTCTTCTGAGGATCACTATACCTCGGCTAGTAGACAAGCCGCTTCTGGCCCTTTCATTGAACGACAACGGGGCCCAGGGGACTCTCGTCGTCAGAACCCCTTCCTATCTGATGACCCTAGCCTATTCCAAACCCCTATTGGGTCAAATGAAAAGATATTAAGTGAATTCCTAGCTGAGCCAAACGGGATGGACCACCTCCGCTACTTGTTCACTCTATCCTTGGACGATTTACAATCGAGCTGCGACAAATACTTCCAACATTCGTTAAAAGAATAGGCCACGAAGGTACCCACCGGAAGTCATTGGCATAGCGCTCGCCAATCTTTATTTTATTTCGCTTCTTTATCCGCACCTGGACAGGATGCTCGAAAAAACTCAAATCACCTAACTCGAAGTCTGCCTACTTTTAAAGTGGTTAATAGTACGCCATGACCAATTAACTATCGAATTCGGATCAGTAGCCAACATTAAATGCTATTCATTCAACGTTTTTTAAACGAATCTACCATGTGTAGCTTGCGCAAGTGTACGGTCTGGCGACATTAAGAGCAGCTGGGGCTTTATTGGCCATCAGCAGAATACCGCCAAAGATAGTCCGGGGATCATATAATAGCAGTGCCCAATCAATTTTCTTATCTACAAAGCAACAACTACTAGATGTATGCTGGTATATTAAATATAAGCGCAAAAGGTTGTCATGGTGTTGCTTAATAATTCCTAAGGCGAATATGGTTGTATACTCACTCCCTTGTGCAATTTGGGTATTTTAATTAATTAATTAAGACTAGCTGTCCTATAATTTACGCTGAAGATTTCAGCCTTAACGGGGCGGCATTAAGAATATAAAGGACTAATAATGGCTGCCTAGAGCGATGTTTATGTAAGTAGAATAAATAAGATACAAAGGCGTCGATGATACTAAGTAATGAGACTACGATGTCCTATTCTTGAATCCATTGGGCCTGACACTGAGTCCAGGCAACAAGGTCTTCCGGTTTGAACCACAAGCTGATCTCCCTCTCTGCACTCTCGACGCTGTCACTCCCATGGACGGCATTTCGGCCAACAACCTGACAAAAGTCGCCACGTATAGTGCCAGGGGCACTTTCAAGTGGCTTGGTTTCACCAAGCATCTTGCGGCCACTCTTAACGACCTGGAATCGAAGAAATTCAGTGCATGGTTTGCATAATAATTATAGGAATTTAATGTAAATAACTTGCATCGTAGCCCATAAAGACCATAGGAACGACTGGTCCCGAGGACATGTAATGGATGAGCTTTGGAAAGAACGGAAGATCGCAGAGAGCGGAGTAATGCTCTTTGAGCAACGCTTCAGACGGCTTGACTAATTTTAGTGCTACAAGCTTGTAGCCACGATTTTCAAAACGTTTAATTACTTCCCCAACCAGCCCTCTATGGACGCCATCCGGTTTGACCATTATGAAGGTCCGCTCGTCATACATGGCAAGTAGGTGGCAATTGAAAACGTATTAGGAGCGTCAATATAAAACAACGCATTAAATAGTATGCAATAAAAATAGTGTATTAATCTTTATAATATATTAGACAAGCTATTTAGCATAATCTTTGAGCTACTAACTAGAACCGCGTTCTTTGAAATTTTTTGACTGGAAATTATGACCCGGGTTTGTCCTAAAATATGCTGCAAATTTTACTTCAGTTTATAAAGAGATCCACACCAGGAATATTACTTCCAGTTGCTGCGGCCGTTGGATTTATTGGATATAAATTTGAGAATTACTTTCAATCAGATGATCACCTTACGGGCGAAAGCTATACTCCTAGAAAGACATTTGAGGAAGCTAGAATAGATCGTCACCTCGGTGAGGATCTTTTGTGCCCGAAGTCTGGCGACTCAACACTCGTGCATAAGGGAACTTTTCTCTATCATAAAAGCAAAGAAAAGTGAACATCCATAATGTGATAGCTCCCGTCAGCCTTACATCCATATGTAAATTATTCTTTACTTAGTTGTCTTTTAAAACTATAATACCTAGAATCGTGACTTAATATATTTCCTCGAGTTTATTTTGGTAACACCTATTATTGACTTATCTCACATTTCTGTGAATACATGGAGAAGATGGAACGTTTTATTAAATACCAGGCCAGAATCTTATTTTAATTTTTAGATTAAGCCGAACTAAATGGGTGCATAGCATGTTTGACTGTATTCCGCAAAGCTGAATTCATACACCCATTTTTAATTGGAAATTTTGGGAACCGCATTCATTACATTTTACCGCATAAGTCGTATTAAATATTTACTAACCTTGTAAGTGCAGTGTTTAAGTGCATAGGTGTAACTAATTGCACAATTCGGAGAATCCTATCTCAGATGGCACAAGTGCAGTCCCGATGTGTGAATCCGGAACTAGGATTGTCTCCTTTATTTAATCATCGCTTTTCCTTCTATTATATCTGTCAATGTTTGATTTTATTGATATTATGGAAAATTTCGAAGAAATACCTACCCGTCTACAAGCAATTGAACGATTGAGTATGTATTGTCATCGTTTCGTTTTATTCTTGTTCTACTAATTACTAAATATATCAGATAATCTAGCGACCTTCGATTTCGAACGCAAATAAACGTTTGTATGTTCAATCTTGGGACATCTGGTTTAATTAAGAACACAAGCTAGTGTGCTTGAGTCGGAATCGGGGCGCGACAACTACTCTTACAAGAAACGTGCAATTCGGCACGTGGCTTGTTAGAATGCATTTTCGAACAGGATATATTTCATACTATAAATATTGCATAGTTTATTGATGAAATAGGTTCCATGCTGTGTAACTAATTTGGACGATTTAAGCGAGGTGTATGCCTACGAGTTTTAAGAAAACGAATGCCGCACAACGCTAATACAGTCATCAATTTCTGACCTACATACTAGAATTAAGTGCGATCCTGGTGCCTTCCCTCATGTATTTCTTATATGACCGGCAATTGTTACCCCGGGACAGTTACTTTACCTTCTTAGTACTAATACTGTCGGAGACGATATTGAGAATAATTTGCATTGAAACAAGTATTAAATCAGTAGAGGCTATTCTTGATTACTTAGATAAAATTTCGATAAAAAGGGTCTGTCGTATAAATGTGGGATAATCTAACT